CTAAGGTAAAAACAATTGTTCAGGGAGAAACTGAAAGCCCAGCCGCGTATCTGGAAAGGCTATTTGATGCCTATAGGCAGTACACCCCTATAAACCCAGAGGCAGAAGAACACAGGTCAGCTGTGGTTCTCTCTTTTATTAACCAGGCAGCCTCTGATATTAGGAGAAAACTTCATAAGCGGGAAGACCTAGGAGAGATTTCAATCAGGGAGATGTTGCAACAAGCAGAAAAGGTTTTTAATACTAGGGAATCCCCGGAGGACAGGGAGGAAAGGCTAAGGAAGGAAGAATGGGAGATGCAGGACAAGAATAGGAAAGAAGACAGAGAATTTCAAAGAAAGGAGAACAAGAAGCAAAGGGAGGAGATGGCCGAATATTTCTGGCTGGAGTGAAAGGGAGCCCTGAGCCGCTCCAGAGAGCAGGACCCCACCCATCTAAACTAGGGCGGGAACAGTGCGCCCTGTGCAAAAGATACGGGCATTGGAAAAGAGAGTGCCCGCAAAGAAGAGGGAGACAAGGAGGAGGGAGCCCTATCAGGACCCTCCACCTGAGAGATAGAAATTGACGGGGACGGGACTCGACTCCCCTCCCCGAATCTTGGGTAACTCTGCGTGGAGGGGACTCCCACTGGCTTCATGGTAGATACTGGGGTGCAGTATTCAGTTCTCAATCAAGCTTGCGGTCCTCTGAAGCCAGGATGCACAAGCATAGTCCAAGGAGCTACAGGAACTAAGAGGTGCGCCTGGACCACCAAAAGGAAAGTGGACTTGGGAAGGCATCAGGTTTCCCACTCCTTCCTAGTTGTGCCTGAGAGTCCCGCACCTTTGCTGGGTAGAGACTTACTTACCAAAATCGGGGCACGTATCCATTTTGAGCCTAAAGGGATACAAGTCATGGACTCAGAAGGACAGCCCCTGCAGCCAGCACATGTGTTGTCTCTATCTCTGGCTGATGAATATCACCTATTCCCAGTGGCTCTAGAAAAGGGGGGCCAGGGAGACATGAGCTCCTGGTTGCAGGAGTTCTCTTCCGCCTGGGCCGAAACCAGAGGAGTTGGCTTCGCTAGGCACCTGCCCCCGGTTGTGGTCCAACTCAAAGCCACGGCTTTGCCCATTCGGGTCCGGCAGTACCCGATGCCAGAAGAGGCTAGGAAGAGAATAGCGCCTCACATCCATAAACTGCTAAAAACAAAAATCCTTAAACCCTGCCAGTCAGCATAGAATACGCCCCTGCTTCCTGTGAAAAAGCCTGGCAGTGGAGATTACAGACCGGTGCAAGATTTGCAAAGGGTAAATGAAAGAGCAGAGGATGTTCACCCCACGGTGCCCAATCCTTACACCCTACTTAGCCACCTGTCACCGTCTCATGTGTGGTATACCACCCTAGACTTGAAGGATGCTTTCTTCAGTGTCCCTCTTGCTGAAGTCAGTCAGCCCCTGTTTGCCTTTGAGTGGCAAGAACCAGGAGGAGGGAAGACAGGGCAGCTCACCTGGACCAGACTGCCACAAGGCTTTAAGAACTCTCCTACCTTGTTCAATGAGGCACTAAGCCAAGATCTGGAGCCCTTCCGCAAAAGGCACCCCCATGTGACTCTGCTGCAGTATGTAGATGACCTGCTGCGGCTACAGCAACTTAAGAAGAGTGCATGAAAGCTATGAAGAACTTGCTGGCCAAACTGGGCAGCCTGGGATATCGGGCCAGCACCAAAAAGGCGCACATCTGCCAGAGGTCAGTGGTTTACTTGGGGTACAAGATAGCGGAAGGGGCCAGATGGCTGACACAAGCCATAAAACAGACTATCCTGACCATCCCTGTGCCCTCCTCTCCCCGGGGAGTGAGGGAATTCCTTGGCTCAGCTGGGTTTTACAGACTCTGGATCCCAGGGTATGCAGAGATAGCCCGTCCACTGTATGAAGCCACCAAAGAAAGACCGGATTGGAGGTGGAGTCAGGAACAAGAAGCATTTGACAGATTAAAGAAAGCTCTTCTCCAGGCCCCTGCCTTATCTCTGCCAGACCCAGAAAAGCCCTTCATTTTGTTCATAGATGAAAAGAAGGGAGTGGCCAAAGGAGTCCTGGCCCAGCAACTAGGCCCGTGGAAGAGACCAGTGGCTTACTTGTCCAAACGGCTGGACCCAGTGGCCTCAGGATGGCCATCTTGCCTGCGCATCTTGGCAGCCATCGCCCTACTAGTAAAGAAAGCTAACAAGCTGACCTTTGGACAAGACTTAAGAGTGACAACACCACATACTGTGAAGAGAATTCTCAGGCACCCTCCAGGAAAATGGATGACAAATGCCAGGCTCACCCACTACCAAGGGCTCCTGCTGGACTCGCCTCGAATCACCTTCTCGGCCCCAGTGACCCTGAATCCTGCCACTCTCCTGCCAAACCCGGACCTGTCAACCCCCATCCATGACTGTAGAGACATTCTCTCTGAAATCACCCAGGTACGGGCAGATCTGAGAGACACGCGGCTGCAAGATAGTGAATTAGATTGGTACACAGATGAAAGCAGCTTCATGCGCAATGGGGTTAGACGAGCTGGAGCAGCAGTAGTGACACACAAGGGGGAAGTCATTTGGAGTGCATCCCTGCCCCCTGGCACCTCAGCCCAGAAGGCGGAACTTATTGCTCTTGCAGAGGCACTGGAAAGGGCAGAAGGCAGGCGAGCTAACATTTATACTGACAGCAGGTACGCATTTGGCATTGTGCATGTTCATGGCGCCATCTATCGGGAAAGAGGATTTCAGTCCACAGAAGGGAAAGAGCTGAAGAATTTGCAAGAACTACAAAGACTGTTAGTAGCTGTGGAAAAGCCTAGGGCGGTGGCAGTTGTACATGTGCCTGGGCACCAGTCCAGGAAAACTCCTGAGGCTATTGGTAACAACTTTGCTGATGCAGAGGCCAGGAGGGTAGCTCTCTTAGACCCCATTGTGCTGCCAGCTCTAGAGGTACCCATACCTGAACTACCCGCTTTACCGCCCAGACCTGACTATTCCCCACGGGACCTCGAGTGGATAAGAAGACAAGCTCTGGGAGAAAAGCCTGGGGAGGGAGATTGGAGTAGGGACCGGGAAGGTAGACTGATCTTACCGGAAGTACTAGGGAAATACATGCTCACCAACCTACACAGATCCACCCATCTGGGTTGGAAGAAGTTGCTCAGTCTTTTACAGAATGCACAATTGGTATTTCCACACCAGAACAAGGCTGCACGTCAGATCACGGGGGGATGCGAGAGCTGTGCAAAGCTAAGACCAGCCCCAAAGGGGCTC